TTATTATTTTTATAAATACCTCAAGGCGGTGAACATACCTAATACTCTTTCCTCCTCCTATTTTCCCCACAACAACAACCCTGTGAGGTGAGTGGGGCTGAGAGAGAGTGACTGGCTCGAAGTCACCCAGCCAGCTTTCATGGCTAAGTTGGAACTGAACTCACAGTCTCCTGCTTTCTAGCCTGGGGGCTAGATAATTATATATTACCTGCCAAACAAAGAGATACTTACCCTGGTCCCATTACATGCCACCAATCTACTTTCTTGTGCAATCCCCAACATTTATGACATATGTATGGTTAATACAGAAACAGATGTGTGGGAAAGGACAGGTCAGAAAGAACCCAGCATGGTGGCTATAATCACGCACATTCCACACACATCTAGAAACCACTATGGATAAAAAAGTTCAACTGACCAATTTTTAGTACTGTAATCCATGAGGAAACAATATAAATAATGGTGAGAGTTAAGAGCTATTTTAAGCATGATGATGGTGATGATGAAGATGATGATGATGATGATATGCTACACTACCATAAGTGGAGGCTAAAAAGAAGGTATTTAAGAGAATAGTCCATTTCCACAACAAGCACAGATTTTTTTCTGCATCCTTCAACATCTCAAAAGGCAGCTTTTTGAAAGTTGTTTCCAATGCCATTTCATTTTGATGAAATGCAACCATTGTTTAAGCAGTTGTTTCCCTAAGCGTAGTCTGTAGTCCTGAATTGCACCTTTCAGGGAGGAATAAAAAACACATCCTTACAAAATACAAAAATAATTTTCTGGTCAGAAGGGAGAGAAGAAAGAGGGCAACTTTTTTTTGGACCCTATAAGTGGAAGGCTAGCGATCAGGTGACCTATGTTTTAAAAAAATGTACTTTATGCATTTGCAAAAGCCTATCTGCTATTTTGCACATATGTAAAGAGGAAAAAAATAGGCTGGAATAAACCCCAAGTCCAAGCTATATCACTTTGGGGAAACCCAGTTTTAAGCTACAATATTTAGATGAGGATGTATGCTCTACCTGATGGTACTTTTATATTTTGCTTTTTAAAAAACATTCTTTAATCAACTGAAACCCAGAGGCTGGGTTTTTAAAAAATAAAATAAAATGTCATTTTTATTTATTTTTTGAATTTGGAACCATAATTATTGCTATGGTTTTAATGGAATTTATTATCTTGGGTTTGTGAGCCTTCAAGTCATTGTTGACTCCTGGCAACTGCCTGGGCAAGTTCCTGCAGTTTTCTTGTCAAGATTTCAGAAATGGTTTGCCATTGCCTGCTTCCTAGGGCTGAGACAGTGTGACTGGCCCAAGGTCACACAGCTGGCTTCACACCTAAGGTGGGACTAGAACTCCCAGTCTCCAGGATTCTAGACTGGTGCCTTCACCACTACACCAAACTGGCTCTCACGATCTTAGGAGTTCATAAATTATTTCTTTCTTTTCTAGTGCCGCCTATCATAAGAAAACCATAACCCAGAAGCCTCTTATTTCTTCAGTTATTATTTTAATATGTCTATGCTGCCCAGTTGCATTTTATAGCTTGTGTAGATGTACGTTCAATATAGTCTTGATTCCTGGCTTAGAAATATCAATATACATGGAAATCCAAAGTAATTAACCATTCAATCCCAGCTAAGAAACTTAAAAATTCTAAAAGGCCTGGTAAAATAAACTGTAAGAAGGAGAGAACCACCCTCCACATCAAAGGCAAGTTGTTCCATAGTCTAGACCAGTGTTTCTCAACTTCAGCAACTTTAAGATGTGTGGACTTCAACTCCCAGAATTCCGCAGCCAGCATAGTGAGTTTGTGAGCATGCTGGCTGAGGCATTCTGGGATTGAAATTCACACATCTTAAAGTTGCTGAGGTTGAGAAACACTGGTCTAGATCCCTGCACTAAAGAAGTAGGAAAGGCTGTTGATGTTATATGTTCCCATGGAAAGGCTTCTAAAAGGTGTTCCCCTGGAGTTCCAGGATTATGGGAGAAGTAAGCAATTTGCTCTAAGCAATCTTGTTTCAGCACAAAAGGTGTTATGGCATTTTCAGGGATTACCCCATTAAGAACTGATTGCAATTATTCAGCCAACATACACACACACACACATACACAAAGCAATAACTTCTGGGATTGCTTTTTATCAGCTATGGATAAAATAAAATATACTGGCATAGTTGTTTCAGGTATTTGCATATTTCTCTATAAATTATTCTTATGGAGAAGTATAACAATCACAGGCAATAGCTGATCTGGGACTTCTTTTCCAAACGAATATTGGTAATTCCTTTTATTTTTACAGAGCTACACAGACTCCACATACTGATATTTGCTCAGCTTTAAATAATAATAAAAGAGGAGGAGGAGGAGAAGTAGTGGTAGTAGTAATAGGCACCTTGGGTGCAATCCCAAAACATCTGGAGCACCACTTGAAGACCATCTGGAGCACCACTTGAAGAGCTTTGACAAAATCACCATCAGTCAATTGCAAAAGACAGATTTACTTGGAACAGTTTACATCCTGCGACGATACCTTTAACACCATTCAACAACAGCATGTGCCTATCCCAGATCCTTGTAAAGGACTCAATAGGTGGACAAAAATGCCAAATCAAGTCTAAACATCTGGCCAATTGAGCAACCAACCATAATATATTCAAGACATAGTTCCAGCCATATTAAGCTCTTGTAAAACCTTTTGACTGTAATGGAAAAGCATCACAATCAAAATGTAAGTTAATGTAAGTTTTGTTATCCACCACTTACCATGACTATTCAACTTTTGTTCCAGATTTTCAGATGAAAGGGAGCGTGCATATGCTGAAAAAGGGCCTCCTGAGTTTCTTTCAGCCACAGCTGTAAAGGTCTCTGTAAAACTATTTCTGTACAAGCCATATTAGGAGGAAGGAGAATTGGGCAGAGCTTCTTCCCTAGTTCCAGCATCAGGAGCCTCATCCATCTCTGAAATTTGAGGCATTTTCCACTATTCATATATAACTCTTCAGAGGGCTACTTCATAAGACAGGCTTAGAGCGAGAAACAAGCCAGCAACCAGTTTGGCAAGACCCTTATCTGCTCCCTTAAATGCTACTGCTCATTCAAACCTGTAATGGGTGAACCAGGGTGAATAATTCACTCACCATGGTCTAGAATGTATTTCACAATCTCACCATGCCCAGTCTTGGCTGCATGATGAAGCAAGGAACAGTGATCAGGTCCCCGGATTAACAGATTAGCTCCTTTTTTACAGCATTCTATGAACTGAAATAGAAGGGAAAAAATGTAATTATTCAAAATCATTTCATTTAAGCAGTGGTCATAAATGAGTGCATTCAGCAGCTTGCCTCACCAAATGCAGCAATGGCAGCAAGTGCAGATTCACAGAGATAGAGGAGAGAGACAAACTGCATACAGATTTGTGCTTTATAGCTGCTGATGTGGGATAGAATGAGAGAGCATTTTTAAGTTTCCTTTTTTTTTTTTTGGATGACCGTCCTTCTCTTTTCATTTGCTGAGATCAGTCAAGGTCAAAGGTGCAGGCCCCTAACTGGACACTGCTTTTTGGTCCAAGATCAAAACACTTATGGTCTGGTTATTTTACAGTGCATATGGCAGCCTTTTCCAACCTGGTCTTGAGAAGGTGGTCACTCTGGGTGGGAATTCTGGACAAAACCATCTCAACGCATCTGGAAGGTGATAGGTTGGGGAAAACCTGTGAGTTATGGTTGGGCAGATTTTGCAGGGTGATATTCTATGGATTTAAATTGGTCACAACTGTGTCTCCATCTACTAAGAGGTCTAGAGCAGGAAAGGAAGTGAGATTAGAAGGCCTCTGTCAAGTACCAACAAAATTGTAGGAATACCCCTTACTCACTGGACAGCTTGCCTGAAACAAAAAACAATGCATACATTTACAGTTACATTGAAAAGAAAAATTAAATCTGAAATAAGCGCAATCCGCCAACCAGAGAAATGTATCCCTTGAATTGAGCTTCAGCTGTTGCAAAACAAAGAATAATTACCACGGCAGGTGGGGGGAAATCCTCTCTCTTTTCCACTCTGGCATTAGGGGACATAGATCAGACTTGGTGTTCTTGGAACCTGTTTAATAACTGAACTGCACTCACAGCAAATACTGAAATTGCAATGAAGTGCAAAGGGGAGCAGATAATGTACTATTAAACTGGTCATATATCAAATCATGAGATGGTGCACTTTGCTTATCCTGGCAGCTGCTTGAGTCTAACCTAAACTTCATTAATGGTCTTTGAAGCTGCAGTGTTACTAACATTCTGGGGTACTTGTGACTGCCTATTCTTTAAGTGTCAGCTTTTTAAAAAAAAAAAAAGATTAGAAAGGAATTTCAGGATAGAGAAACACAACCCTTTCAAACAGAGGTTGGCACTTAAATGGGATATCAGGGATTGGACTCAAAAATATAGGCAGGGACAGCTCAAAGAAATGAGCAATGCTAAGACAAAAACTAAATTGGATTTTGTTATTTAATCACATTGAATGTATTAATGTGATTATTAGTCATGTATTTATTGACTAAGAGCCACTTTGGTGTAGCGGTTAAGACATCAGGCTAGAAATCAGGAGACGGTGAGCTCTAGTTCTGCCTTAGGCACAAACCCAGCTGGATGACTTTGGGCCAGCCACTCTCTCTCAGTCCTAGGAAGAAGGTGGCAATGGCAAACCACTTCTGAAAAATCTTGCCAAGAAAATTACAAGGCCTTGTCCAGGCAGTCACCAGGAGACAGGACTGTCTCAAAGGCTTACAAAAATAATAATTCTTCTTCTCCTTGGTCACATAAAACAAACAAAAGAGTTAAAAATTTTGGAAAGGCTCTGAAGGCTCAACCAAGACTTTATTAGACATCGTGCAGCCCTGAAGCCTCAGGGTGTGCATTCCTAATGTAGAGCATGACAATAAAGAATGAGAAGCATTACAAAAGTAACAAGAAATAGGACCTTATAGGCAATGCATTATTAGATTTAGGATAATACTCATCACAGGACCTTTCATTCCAATCAGGTGCATTAACAGCTAGCATACAATGTGTCCTTGCAAAGCTGAAGTTAATTTGCATTTGTTAACCAACTTTATCAAAGCACTGGACGTTTTTAAAGGGAGGCAAGGAATCAGTTGTTCAAGCTTCCCCTTTACTGCCAAGTGCATTTCCTAATAGATGTGGTTCTATGTTTCCATGGTGACTGAACTGGGAGAGGGTGGAGACCATTTCTAACTGGCTTATGCAAGAAAAATCTGTAGAGAAAAAAACTGAGATAACCCTGGTTAGCATCCTCCAGTTTGTTCACGGAGTTTATATTTAGCAGTTCATTTACAGCTGTCAAGAGCATCTGAAAGAGATTTAAGAGTTAAGATTTAAGAGATTTAAGTTTAACAGCCAAAAGGTTAAGTCAATTTTATAAAGTTACAGCCTGTAACTCTGAGCTGCCCTCATGGTGGGGGAAAAATAGGTGGAAGAAAGTTCTTCTTGTAGGAAGCAAGCTGAAAAGAAAAACCTAAAAGTGTTATTCCTCCAAACGAGGGAAAGCAGAGCAGAGCAAAGGAAAAGAACAAAGGGAATCCCTTGCTTACTTTCTCTACTCTAAAGCCCACTAGTGGTCACTGGATGAAAGACCAAGGAATCAATCTTCTGGAGCTATCCCAAAGATCGATGAGATCCAGGAACAGGATGCCGAATTTCTGTGGGTGGGGGCAGGGTGGATGAGAGAAGTTAAGGGCTGCCAGCAGGCAAGGCAAAGAAAGCATTCCCACCAAATATTCCCATAAGGGTTTTAGAACTGCAACAATTTGAAGGAGAACACCACGCTTGCTATGCTTTGTAATAACCTGAAGCAAAGTTAGAAATAAATCAACTATGCTACCCAAAATGTACAATATTATGAGCTCTATCAGATCTGGAATTGATCCCAATGTAGAGCAAAACAGTGACATGGAAGTACTCTGGAGGTAACTGTATGGTGTATAAAAACCCATAGTTAGTAACACACATATCAACACATATCAACACAAAATGATATACAGTATAATAGCTTCTTTTACTTACTCTTAGATTATCGCCAGCTATTACTGACTGTAAAAGTGCTGCAAAGGACATAAGGAGACATTATTAGCATTCATAATTATTATTGACATAAGAGGCATTCATTTTTCTTGATTATGTTAATAGAATATATTCTGGAGGCTGATATTCTAGAGACATGATCTTCCAAGGCTTTTTAACAATGCATTTTGAGGCTCAAATTAGTTTGTGCTTTAATTAACTGTTTGATTTGAATTCCGCAGGAGTCCTTGTAAGAAAATATGCTCCTGAACATAAGCTGAGTACAGAAAGAATACTGAGTAATTACATTGCAGAACATCCTACTTAAGTAAAGGTAATTACTCATAATATAGTTTAATATGCCTTGGGTGCAGAGTATGGATATGGCCCAGCTAACAATGAATGCTAATAGACATTCATTATATTTGAAGTAAAAGCTAGATTTATTAAGAAATATGTGAGGATACAAAAGCCTCACTTCTACCTAAACTACATTGTGTGTATGTATGTGTGTGTGTGTTGTGTAAGAGAGAGAGAGAGAGAGAGAGAAAGGAAATTCTCTGTCTCTTAAACACAGAGATCATTTAACTAACATTAGGTCAAGTGAGAAACAGACAAAGAGACTTTTCTCCTTTTTTAACCATTTGCCCTAATTTTCAGAATGGCTCATAGGTGCAAAAACATTAATACTGTGCATGTGTAAAAAAAACCTACAGCAATAGAGGCATCTGCAGAATTGGATGGTTTTGTCAAAAAGTTGAAACAGACATTGCAGTAACAATAGCAACTGAATCACAGAATTGTATTGTTGGAAAAAGCCATTTAGACCATGAAATCCAACTTTCACTCAGTGGAGGTCTCTAATTTAGAGCTTCTCTGACAGAAAGCTGTCCAGCCTTTGCTTGAACACATCTGGGAACTACTTGCAAACTATTCTTATTATCAAGACTTTTTTTCTAAGATTCAACTGGAATCTGCCTTCCCAACAACTTATACTCATTATTCTTATACTCTGGAACAATAAAAGGTCTTGATATTCTGACATTCTTTGAGTAATTGTGCTATCATATCTTCTCTGGTCTTCTGTTCTCAAGACTAAAGGTGCCTAGCTTCTTCAGTTGCTTTTCATAGGCTGTTTCTAGTTCCTGGATCATCATTACTGCCCTTATCTGAACCTATTCCAGGTTCTTGATGATTACCCATCTAAATTGAAGCTATGTTTATTCTTGGACTAACGAATGTTCAAAATTCAAGTGACTGGAGAACACAAAGCTCTTCTTAAGCCATGTCAAAAATTTAAAGTTATCCCTGGCCAAAAGCATTAATTCAATAATCAAATTATAAATCACATACTCTGGGAATTTACACAAAAGGAATCCACTCAGAATGTATAAAGAAGTAAGGTGCAATTCTTTGTTACTTCTTCTTAGCAGACAATGTCAAATAGACTAAAATTGTGCCAAAATCTGTCCTTCAATTTATCAAAATTTTATTTGTTTCAGAAGAGGTATCTGTTTTCCTACCTCATTGTCAGGGAGAATTATCAGAAATTTCTTTAGAGTTTCTTTTCCAGTTTTTTTCCCCCCTAGTTTCTTGTTCCAAGATGGCAAAAACTACTGTTATGTATTGCTACATTTCCCCCCATTATTCTGTAGGCTTTCCAACTGCCCTGAGAAAAAATTAGGAACTTCATTATGTCTTCTTTTGTGATTGAATGAAGGCTGCAATGCTGTAGGAATAGGGCATTCACTTATATACTTCTTAACCACTTCATCAAATGACATTAGTACATGAATTCCACAGCCCACCATGAGAATTTCATTACAATATTCTTCTGCTCTGAACAAAAATCAAAGCATGTTCTTCATCAAATTAAGAAACAATGGTAGGAAATGCAGAAAAATTCCAGCAAAGTATTAAAACAGACTAATCAGAAAAGGAACAAGTCCAGAAATAAGAATTTGGTGCTGAAAATCTACCCTCTCATCTAAAAATTCTACACAACCCTGTGAGATGTTCTTTCAACAAACTGAGCATAACAGTGTGCTGAAACTAGAAAGACAAATTAGATTTGATGGAATTTCCACCCTACATAGTGGAAGGTCTCAGTAATTTCAATGATCTTACAAACATGAGCTCTGGGTTAGATCACCTTTCTTGGTAAAGTCAAAAGGGAGGCATGAAGCTAATTGTGATCCACAATATATACACTCTGTAGGTTTGAGGGAAGCTAACCTACCTAAGAGAAGCAATTCTAAAGTCAAACAGAAGAATGCCATGAAAATGGTATGAATATGTCTGAAACATTTAGAAGATTTTGGGTGCCTGATGATAATATCAGAAAGCTAGAACCACAAGAATGCAATTCTTTCAGTCAGATTTGGAGTGACCAGATCATATCTCCAAGGACAACTGGTTACTAATGGTGCAAGAAGTGAAAGAGAAATTCCTCATCTTACATGGACACACGTAACTGGAACATGGAATTTGAGAAGTATGAACCAAAGGAAACCTGAAATTGTCAAAGTAGACATAAAGCATACTAAACTGGAAGTTTAGGGGTAAGTGAATTTAAATAGACCAGGATGGAACACTTTAAAGCAACTGATTACATATTCAGAGCATGACACCGTAAGAAGGAATGGAATGGTAAGGACTCTAAAGAATGGCATCTCTAAGTAACTGTTCAGTTATAACCCTATAAACAAAGACTCATAATTATTAAAATTAGTGGATATATATCAACACTATACTTGTGTATGTACCTAGTACAGATGCAACAATGGAAGACTTTGAGCAATTCTGTGGCAAATTGCAAGAGATGCTTTTCTGCAGCATCAAAACAAAGAGCCTGAATGCTACTAATGGATGTCTGAAATGCATAAGTTAGAGTAATGGAGTAACTTGGAATTACAAGAACATTTGGTATGAGCAAACACTACAATGAGAAGATATTGTTTATTGCCAATGCTTGCTTTAATCAGCATATGTACATGGACATCACTGGATGCACAACACTGGAATCAAACATAATAGGAAACAGAAGATGGAAGAATAAAATCCAGTCAGCCAGGAGAGTTCCAGGTGCAGATTGTAGAACAGATCATGCATTATTGGTGTCAAATATTTGGATTAAATTTGGAAAATTAAAAAGAAAAACTGTGGCACAAAGATTTGACTTGGAGGACATACAGTCAAAATATAAGATCAATGAAACAAAACAAAACAATTCCATATACTTTACCTAAGAAACTATAGTAACTGATAAGAGACATCATAAAGACTGAAGTGAGGGGGGGGAAAATGCCCAAAGATCAAGAGGGAAACGATCCAAGAGGTTTTCAGAATAAACTCTCATGATAGCTAAAGATGTAAAAAAATAAAATAAAATAAAATAAAATAAAACAAAATAAAATAAAATAAAATAAAGCCTTGAGCAAGGAAGATGTATGTCACCTGAATGCAAACCTCCAACCACAATGAAAAAGAGAGAGGCAAGGAACTATATCTCAGTCAAGAATATGAATAAATAGAGAAAAATAGCAAGGAAGAGGAAATAAACATCCCAGGAAAATTTACAGCTATGGTAGGAATATGCAGGACTAATCACAGAAGACATAATAGAAATCAAAAGGTTAAAAAAAGATGCATGACAATACTAAAAAAAAAAGGGGGGGAGTTTAGAATAACAGCAGAGATGTCTACAGTGGGGGGTCAAAAAGTCAAGATGGTGACTGCAAGTGAGTGTTTGAAGCCCTGCCCATTTTATGTGTCATGGGGATGATGAAAGAAAAAGAAGGAGGGCTTTGGTTATGCAGTTGCCATCTTGACTTTTTTGACACCCGCCCCCCAAGATCCCTGAATGACTTGTAGAGAGAAGAACCAACTCCAGACATGAGGTACAACAAGCAATAGCCCAACCATCAAATAAGAACGGACCAGGTGCAACTGAAATGCCCCCTGAATTGTTCAAAGCTATGAGAGAAAAGGCAGTGCTACTAGCTCTCTGTCAACAAATATAGAAGAAGACTAGGGATTGGAAAATAACACCAACATCAAAGAAGGGGGATGCATGAGAATATGCAGAAAACTGAGCCATTCCACTAATTCTTGATGATTGAGTATGTGCCATCAAGTCATTTTTTACTCCTAGCGACCACATAGATAGATTTTCTCCAAGACAATCTATCCCTAACCTGTTCTTTCAAGCCTCCCAATGGTGCACTCATCACCACTGTAACTGAATCTATCCACCTAGCTGCTGATGTCCTCTTCTCTTCTTTTCTTCTACCTTTCCCAGGATTAGAGCCTTGTCCACAGAGCTGGGTCTTCACATAATGTGTCTGAAGTAGAATAATTTAAGCCTGGTCATTTGTGCCTCAAGTAAGAACTCTGGGTTGATTTGTTCAATGATCAAAGTTTGTTTTATTGGCTATCCACAATATTCTCAGGAGTCTACACACAAAGTTTTGCTTCAGATTTTAAGTCTGCACATCTCAAAGTTGCTGAGGTTGAGAAACACTGATCTATGTGGTCGATTAGAATCAACACCAACTTGATGGCACGTCATCCATCCATCCATCCATCCATCCATCCATCCATTCATCCATCCATTTTAGTAACAGAACAAATAAACTGTATAAGAACCCACCTATCCAGAATTCCAGAATGTCCCTTGCACAAATTTTCTGAAACCTTAAGGGCAGGGGACAAAATCTAGTAATTTAGGAAGGGTCACAGCACCAGAGGTTTTAAAACTGAGCTGTCTTCGCTCCCAATTTTCCAAATGCTTCAACTGAATTGGACCACAAGCTTTCAAGCTTTTCCAATGGGAACTATATTGCATTATGAGTTGCCATTGTTCCCTGGGCCTTACCATACTGGAAGAAAAATACAGTTTCCTCCACTGACCAATCATGGTATGGCATCCCCATTTAACGGATGGCATTCCTATTCAGTGGAAGAATGGCAATAAGCTGGTACCAAAACTTTTTAAAAATAAAAGTAGAAATAATTGCAAACCTTCTGCTGTCATACCTTA